GAAAAAACCTTTAAAACCAGCTTCAAAACCGACTGGTTGAGGAGCGACATTTGATTGAACACCCTATACAATTTAATATAACAAATATAAAAAAAAAAAACAGGATTCATTGAAACTTACAATGCCTTGAGTTGATACTCGACCAAATACATGTGTAAATGCATCACGTACAGGTGTGAGTTTAACATCTTTAGCTGATGTAACTACTATATTAATTTCATGTCCTGGTTCTAAAAAAAATAAAAATTATTTTTAGAAAAAATAAAAATAAATCAATACATACGAATATATTGTTTCATTTGAGGATCAACTGTTGTTATAACTGTTTCAATACCGGTCTAATATAATAAATAAAGAATTCAATGTGTTTTTTCTTTATATTTAATCTGGATTCTCTTTTTTACTCGCATATATTCGAAGAAAGCAAAAAAAGAAATCGATTTCCTCAACATACAAAAAACTAATCTTTATTAATCATCACTTCATAATATTTTACATTTTATATAGAGGCGTAAGCCGACGGTGACGGCTACAAGAACCTTCGCCTTTGAAACTGGTCGCGACTCAGTCAATTGACTTACACCTCTAATTGTATTTTCTTATTGCTACAAGAGAAATATTTTCTTTATTTGAATTCCCAAATGAAAAAATTTTCCACACTTAAAGGATTTCTCCAATACCCGTTGGTACACACAGGTAGGTTCAGTAACATCCAGGTTTTTCTCAATCTTTTTTTCCGCTGACTTAAGCACTAGAAAAAATCCAAATAGTGATTCGAGTAGAAGAAAATTTTTTCCAACAAAAATATAAGGAAATAAATATCCTTATCAGATCGTCACAAAGAAGGTTTTCAGAAAACCAAAACTATTTTTGAATTTTCACTCAAAAAATATCGTAGAGCACTCGGAGACGTGTTATTTCTTATGGAATTATTTGCTCTATCATCCTATATAGTCTAAACAAAACTATATTTGTGGGCTCTAGGTGCTAGAAAACTAGACTCTTGGTTTTCTGAAGACCTTGCCTTGAGAATGATTTTACTCTACTCGAATTTTTTTTCTAGCATTTAAATCAGTAGAAAAAAACAGAAAACAAATTTTATTGAATAATTTTGGTGTTTACTATAACTACTAATTTATTATTGAAAACTTTGATAGCATTATAAAAAAAAAATCTCCTAGTTTTCAAATAACTATTCTTTAATTGATTCGATTCTATATCTAACAAATTTCAAAACGAAAATCAAGGTTGTTTGAATTACTGTAGAATTCATTTTGTACTCCTACAATCTCACTGAATAAAAGGAGGATTATTAATTTTATTATTTTAGTAAATATCTTGATCTGATATCGAAATTTAAAAAAATGATTACTTTAGCTTTTTCAACAACAGTAGCCAACACTTTATTATTACTAAACCAACCCCAAATACCACTAGGATTTGTAGATAAATCATTTTGTTGATCATATGTTGTTGTTGGATAATTTGTCCATGGCGTTGGATTAGGTTCACCTATAAAAACAAAAATTATTAAATAAAAAAAAAAATAAACAATTTTATTCTTCGCAAATTTCAAACCTGGTGGTTGATAAGATGGATTGTAAATATTTGTATCAGTTCTTAATAAAAGATTCTATTTTATCATAATTAAAGAACTTAATGTTTACCCTGAAAAAACATTTGGTGCCGTTGTACTAGGAACAGTTGGTGGTGGAACAAATATATTGCTAGTTGTTAGTGGTACAGCTTGTTGTTGTTGTTGTTGTTGAAAACTAACTGGCGGAAGTAATTGTTGTGGTTGAAGTGGAGCTTGTGATGTTGGCATACTTGGATAAATACGTTCTGTTAATGAAGCACGAGCAGAATAAGGATTTACCTGTGCTGCTAAAAAAAAGAAAAACAAAGATTTTTAAAATTCAATAAAATCAAAATTTATTTACAAGTGCCAGTTTGTTGAGGAGGTGGAGGTAGTGTATGATTTGGATCGTTCATTATTGTAGAAGAAGTTGAAGGAACCGGAGGAGGAGGAACAAATTGTGAGGTATGTTGCGTGGTTGGAATATCTTGTGTTGAAGGTGGTCGTGGCATCATCATAGGCGGTGGAATATTTGTTGTTTCTATACCTTGTGTTGTTGACATTGGAAATGGAACAGATTGTATTTGTTGATTTCCAAGTGTTAATTTAGGTTGAATTAATGATGATGAAAATTGTTGAGTATTAGCAGGATTTAATGGTGTGAATGCCGATGGTGGTGATTGAAATGGGCTTGGAATTGATGGTGGACGAATTAAAGGTTGAATTAATGGTGATGGTAAATGTGATGTTGATGATGCTGGTTGAAGAAGTGGATTTAATGTTGGAATATTATTTGTTCTCTGTTGAAATAATAATGGTGAACCACTTGATAACATTTGTGTTGAACTATTTGGTGCTGGAAAAAGTGGTTTAAATGGAGTATTAGCAGAACTTATAAATGGAGCTTTAAATATATAAAATGATATTATAGAGGAGAAAAAAAATATATATATGAAAGATTATTGAATATACCTTTAATTACATCGGTGTTAGCTGCATCTTGTAATTCAGATGTAACATGTTGTTCGGCTAACGTTCTCGGTGGTCCTCGAGATAGATTATTAACGCCGATAATTTCATCGGCTAAATCATCATTTGAATCCGAAAGAGCAATATTCTCCATTATTTGTTTTTATAACGAATGGATCACTTTAGGTATCCACGTCAGCGAGTTTCTTCTGTTCTTTTGATTGTCTATATATATTCCAATAAATATTTCTTAAGATGTATGAATGGTAATATTTTGACAAATTAGAATGTTGAACTTTATATAACAGATGGCGTTGTTGTTTGTCGCTTTCATGAATGTATCGATATATAAGAAGAATGATAATTTAATATTTCTCATAGAAAATGTAATGAAAAAAATAAGTTTGAAGGAGAATAGAGAAAGTAGTTTGGTTTACAAGATAAAAAGTCAATGAGATTTGTATAACTTATAGTTGAGTGTTGAATATAATTTTAGAAATCTCTAATTTAGTCTCGGTCGTAGCCCTACGTAACCTGAAATAAGAACATCAAATCTGTCGATTTATATGAGCGATGTAAAAGATACACTATTACCATAGGTATATCTTAGGATAGGAACAACAACAACAATATCTGAAACATTCATAAAAAAACTATTTTCGTTAAGATCTATCCCTATACAAAGCTTCAAATCAGTTTTTCTGGACCATGGCATTCATTAAAAAAATTTCGTACAAATGCAGTATATTCACAGCAATAAGCTAAGGATAAAAGTTCTTTTTAGGATATTTATAACTTGTTTGGGCACATAGTCTCAACTCTAGGCATATCCAGGACCAAGTCTTGTTTGGATCGTAGTCACAGCGAATCTGGTATGTTCCAGATTTCGCACATGTGTACTCAGGTGCAACAATTCCTTAGAAAAAAAAATATGATTAGAACGTGAAAAAATAAATAAAAGGTAAAGGATTAAGACGTCCTTTAAAACATTTCCCTGAGCGCAATACTCCGTAGTGGTATGATTCTTCGAAAAAACGTCTTCCATCATGAAAATGTGGTTATGAGTAGGATGGAGGCCTCGCTCTCACCCATACTCTCAGAAGAAGACATATTTTAGTTTTCGTAAAGATGCACTTGTTTATTTTGTTCTCACACATATCTAGTCTCGACTTAAAAGCGATTAATCAATTGGAGAACTTCCCTTGTAAGACGGATTGAGCATGCCTACCAGAGCTCGATCAACTAAACCTTCACAGGGTCAAAATTTTGGTTATATCATTACTATAATGAATATCTCTTCTGTTGTAAATAGGAAATTACCATCGTATGTAAATGCAGTATATTTTTCATTGACTAATAATAAGTCTAACTATAATTCTTAAAAAATTTTATTGAATATATAAAAAACAAAGAATGGAATTGTCTAGTTGTTAATAAATCACTCATTTATTTGAATAAATAATTATAAATTTTAGTTCAATTATTCTTTTATGATAAACATAATTTAAAATGGTACTTCATCTTTATTTCTATTTGTTAATTGTTGATTATTATATTCATCATCATTAAATGTAAGAACTTGTATATCACGTTTACTATCAACTTTTGTTGGTTGTGGTACAAATGTTTTTGTATTTTTTTCTTCATTAATTGGTTCAAGATTTGTTTGTAATGCCCGAGTTGATTTACTTTGAAAATCATTTGTTGTTGTGGTTGTTGTTGTTGATTGTATTTGTGGGGATGTTCGAGGACGAGAATTAGGTTTTATTGTATTTTCATTAATTGATGATACAGATTCATTAGGAAGTCTAAATATTAATAATTTAAGAAAATTTTGTTTTTTGTTTTTAATGTATTTTATTACTTATTTGACATCATCGAGTCCAATGTATCTAGATTAGCTTGAGTAGATTTTGTATTTTCAGTAAAATAAGCAGTTGGTTGAATACGTCCACTTTCTTCAAGTCCTTTAATTGCTGATGTAATTAATTGACGTACAACCTCTTTTTCTAAATGTATATAAACAAAATGAATACAATATGTATGAAAAATTAAAAGATAAATTAAACAAACCATTTGAACTTGATGAAACAAGCCATGATTGTACTTCATTAATATCTTCAGTTTTTAAAATTTGACAAAGTACTTGAAGCATCTAAAACAAAAATATGATTTATTTTTGTTTAGAAAAAAGAAAAATCTTTATGATCTTACCCACATCTCTCGTTCTTGTTCATCAACACAAAATAGATGATTAGGTACAAGAGCTGAAAGTGGTGTTCGTCCACGTAATGATTGACTACGTCTTAATGTTTTAGGTGTTTCATTCCATCGACCAGTTCGTTGACTATATTCACCATTTCCTGTTTTTGATGGAGTTCTTATAAGTGGTGAACATGATGGTTTTCTTTTATTTTCAATTTCAGTTAATTCTTCAGCTGTTACTAAACCAACCATTTCAGCAATACGTGATAATTCACGTCGCCAATTTTCTGTATCAACAACTAAGTTAAAAATAAGAGCAAAAAAAAAACAATTGCTATGTTTATTTTGAATGATACTTACCAACCTATAAATTTCAAAAAGAAATTATTAGATGATTTTTAAACAAAAAAAACAAACTGTTTAACATACATACCGTTCCGGATGCATTCCAACCACGTATAGGAGGAAGGAATCGTTCTCGACGTCTTTTTGGTTGAATTTTTTCTGCATAAGATCGAAGTAAAGCTTCATTATATGAATTCGGTGGAAACTCAATAGTAAAACGTGGATCAGATAGTAATGACTTAGCTAATTCACCTGATGGATTTGCTGGTAAATGTGGCATATCATCTCGTACATGACATACTTTAACACCAGCAGTTCCTTAATTGTTTTTTTTGAATGAATAAACCATTCAATGAAAATAATATAATTACCTGTAATAAATTTTAAATATTTTGGTTGAGGAACATGCCGTGCAAAGAACATATTTTTTGATAATTGTCCAAAACGATTTGCTGTTTGTAAACGTGATTGATCCATATCAGTATCCATCATTTACACGACTTCTAGTCTACAAAATGAAAAAAAAAAAAAAGAAAAATGAAAGAAAGCAGTCAATACAATCTCGGATGAAAGTATGTACACAGAAGAAAATTTTGCAGCCGAGCAACAGTGATGAACTTTAAAGATTAGACATTATGTGAACATGTAAAAAAAAAAGTTCCAACAGAACTGAAAAATATGATTTTTTGTTTTGGTAACAAAGAATATTTTGAATAAAAAAGAAATCAGACTATGAATTCATACTGAATGATTAAATTTCTTTAATATGCAAAAAAATTAATTAATTAAGATTTCATAGACTATGACAATTTATGATAAAATACTTATATAATTAAAGAAATTGTTTCGTCTTTTTTGTTTTTTAAATAAAGAAATAATAATTATTGAAGTATCTTGTATAAACCTCAACGATTTTATGAATGATGTTTTAAATTAGTATTCAAATGACTTTTAGATTAAATTTCACTTAATTGTTGAAATATTTTTTAAATTTGAATTTATTGAAAGAAAATACATAACATTATAAATGTTTAATTGAATACATGAGATTATATTTCAGTACTATTTCAACTGTATGCAGAATTCAATTGATGCTCGATGTTAATGAATGCCATCATGGTAGCAGAGAACAAGTTCGTTGAATAATATTTGAGCTTCCAACTGTGATCAAAGAAAATTGAAATCTAACTTCGAAAACATAAAATTAATAGGCCAATTATATACTGTTTACTAATATGAGTTTTGATTGAAACCTCCAATCAAATATATTATGAATATTTCCGTAACTCTTATACAAAAAACTATCGTTGAAAACAGATTAATTAATTCCAGTAATATAATTCCGACATTGAGAATATATAAAATGATTCTTAAATAATTAATTTGGCGATTCTATTTTAAGACAAGGCGGCATGTTTTTTTGATCTTGATATATGAAGAAAAAATTATAAAAAGATATCATTTTTAATATTCTAATTATTTCACGTTATTTTTTTAAAATGTCAATTAATATTAAGCGTAAAGATTTAATTATCAAATTGATTTTATTTCATGCTTCTCATTGATATAACCGAGTCTTCCTTGTTAAATCATTTTTAATAGAAAGAAATACAGTAATTTCAATAGTATACTTTTATATTATGGTTGTAATATCATAAAAACCGACTAAAATAGCTACGAGTGTTTTTTTTTCTTCTTTAATACAATTTGACATGATATCAAAAGGATTTTTTAGAAAGTTTTATAATCAAAAATTTATTACATTTATTATTTAGCTCGTTGATAATGAATAAATCGAAAGGTTATGACGTTCGAGAAAAAAAAAACTTATATATCATCATCATTAAATATAATTAAATTCAATAGAAAAAAAACTAAAATTTCTAATGTAGATGATATTTGAGTTAAATAGAAATTCACTATATAATTTATTATTCTTCTATATATCGAAGTTTATAATATTATTGATTAATAAAACTATAACTCTAACCTGTATATCTCAGCATGAAATTATTATACATTTGCATGTTTTAACATGTCAAATACATGCATGTCTATATAAGACTTCATTTCCTGTCGAACTCAATTTTTGTCAAATTTGCCTAATGATCATTCTGTCAAAAGCCAAAAAAAAATTTAGGTGCTTTTAATAGAGACATAAGTATTTTCTTTTTCTTTTTCGTTGATGTAAAAAAAAAGAAAGAACTAATCTGAAATGCTAAATTGAAACATCAAGCTGATACCAGAATAAATGGACTAGCCTAAGGTTTGACTGTTAGACATTTACGTAGATCTCAATCGGAAATACAATGTGACGAACGACTAGAAGTCACATATGAATAGTAGTCTTGTTATAGAGTGCGAACAGAGAAAAAAACGAGAACGAACACACTCAACAACATTGACAAAAGAGAGAAGCATCGTTATTATTATCACTGTCAATGGCAGGATGTATAAAAATAGCTCTTTTTCTCAAAATATTCCTTGTATAAAGGAAATGAAAGGTAAGTTAAGTTGTAGAAAAGTATAGATATTTCTTTTCTTCTCTTCATAGAATAGCTTCTTTGAAGAAAGTCAAATTACGTTTGAATTTTTCTTATTATTTCAACATAAGATCAGCTCTTTCTTGTCATAAATCAAAAAACCTCATCTTAAAAGCATTGTAAGTTTTCAACAGATATGATCGTTCATACAGACACATTCAACAACTATAAATATGATTTTCAACCGGAAATAAACTAAGATCTATACAAAGAGTATGATTTTTTCTTTGAGCATCGTTATTTACATGATTCTACTCGTTTTTTGTTTTGCTATAAATCTCTTCAAGGTGAATGTAGTTCATGAAATACTTTCTAATCATATGTTAGGAATGTTTTTTTTCATTATATTTGAAAAAATGACATATACTTTCTAACAACCTTATTCATTAGCTTTTTCTATTGCCTCTGGTTGGTTCAATCATTTTGGTCGGATGATCACTGCTTGTTCATTCGATCAATCAGTTTCTTATATATAATAGTGAACGATGAACAACAGAATGAATATTTGAAGATACCAAGACTATTGTGTCTTTCGCTTCATTGAATTGACAATTAATTGCTTTGTATTATTATCCTTTTTATTTCATTTTTTTTTTGTTCTTCATTTCGAATATTTCTTATGTTTTTAGTTCATTATTAATAGATATATGATGTTACAAGATTTAAAAACAGATCATAATTATTCTTATCAACCAAATTTATTTTGGATGAAAAATATTCAAACACATACATCTTTTTTATTTTCATTTATACTTTTTTTCATTTATGCAATTATATTTCTTATTGGTCTTATAGCAAATATATTTGTTATTGTTATGATTATAAAACGTCGACGTATGCGTACATTAACAAATCGTTTTTTACTTAATTTAGCTATATCAGATCTTATTGCAACATTAGTTTGTTTACCACCAACTGCTTATCATTATTATGATAAACGTTGGATATTTGGAGAATTTCTTTGTCGATTTGTACCATTTATGCAGGGTAAAAAAAAAAATAAAATAAAATTTTCAAATATAATAAATGAAATATTGAAGAATAAATGTAAAAGATTGTCTGTCGACAAAATATAAATACAATAGAAATTAATTTTGTATTCTATAGATAAAATTAATTCGATTTATTTTTTTACTTTTGAATTCATATAGATATAAAGACGTGCCAATCATATTTTGTACTTTTGAATAATATTTAGACAGATGCAAATCTTAACTTCTTTCATATTTAAATCTAAACTAATTATTATTTCTTTCATCTGAATGACAAGAATTTTTTCGTATCTTATTAATATTATATTCATCTTTTTTAAATTATATTTAGAATAAATCGAGTTGTTTTTTTTTTTTTTATTGTTTAAAAAAATATATTAGGTACATCGGTTGCAGTATCAATTTTTACATTAATGGCTGGTAAGTAATTTCGAAATGAAGAATTGTTTTTTTACTACTAAATTTATTTTCTTTGAATATTTAGTCAGTATTGATCGATTTATTGCTATACATAAACCAATACATTCAAAAATACTTTGTACTCCAACACGCATAATAGTTACTATTGTAATAACATGGATTGCTTGTATGTAAATTGCCGAAATGATGTTTTTTTTTTGTGTCTAAGAAAACAAAATCATCTTTTTTATTTCCAATTCTATATAGCACTTCTTCTAATGATTCCACTTATTTTACATCATCGAATAGTCGATCCATTTGAAATAACATTAACAGCATGCGCTGAAGAATGGCATCAAAATATGAATGCTCGATTAGTCTATGATTTTATATTACTTATTGTTCTTTTTATATTACCATTAACATTAATGACATATTGTTATATTCGTATAAGTTTTTCTCTTTGGTTTATTGATTCAAATATTCAAACAACATCATCAACATCAACAATAAATACAGGACGTTTTTCAATTCTATCGGATGATTTTCAAAATGATATTCGATTAAATTCTGCACAAAATACTCGATCATTATGTGTTCATTATCATAAAACAAATGAAAATAATCTTAATCGACAACAATTAGATGATTATCGTTCATTATTAATGCCAAATCGACAACGACAACAAAATACAATATTAAATAATAATAATAATAATACATATAATCATTCATTAAATATTATATCAAGACGTTTTAGTGATAATAATTATAAATCAAATACAAATTGTTTACAATTAAATAAACAACAAAGATCAACATCGATAGGTCAACGATATTCAATAAGTCAATATACAACTGGAATATTTCGTTCAAGTGTTATATCATTACAAAATCAAAATCGTATTTCAAATGCTAATAATCCACAACGTCGATCAATATTTGATTTTGAACATGCAAGTCGAATTTTACAAAGTCGTCGACGAGTTGTTAAATTACTTATTACTTTAGGTAAATAAAATTTTTCTCTATAGAAAGAAAAAAAATATTTTATTTTAATGTTGTTTAGTTATTGTCTTTTTTATTACAAGACTTCCATTAAATATTTTATCAATTTATATTGATGTAACATCAAATACATATCTACCTGATAATACATATACAAATATAACTAAATTTGGATTTAATGAAGATCAAGTAGCTGTTTATTCATCATATGTAACAAATACAGATAAGAAAATGTTTCTTGTTCTTTATGTTAATCCAATATTTCAATTATTTTCATTATCAAATTCAGCAATTAATCCATTATGTTATTGTGTTATGAGTCATGCTGTTAAACATATATTTATACGTTTTCGAGAAAAAATACGGCGTGGTGGTAATAAAAAAGCTTCATCACTAACATTAGTTCAGTGATAATGCGCAGATTTGGAGAAACAAAAGTCGATATATATGAAACAGAAATTAGTTTAACATGTGAAACAATCGAATCTCTACAAAAGTATGATGTCAAACGGACAACAAAGTTAAATGAAAAGAAAAACAAAGCAAGAGAAAGTAATTGACTTCGGTTTGCGAAATGATTGTTTTACATTACGCATAGATACAGAAGAATACAATTTGTTTCGTTTTTCTGTTTATGTATTGAATTTCTTTTTGTCATTATTATCAATAAATATAGTTTATTGAAAAGTATATTTTCTTAATGATACAAAATAACTCTAAGATTGTTCAATTTTATATTGATACAATAGTAAGTATTTATTAGCTTGAATCTGAAAGATTCGTTTGTATCGAGATCGTTAATTATAGAACTCGAAATATGTTGAATAGAATATATTGATCTATCGATTGGAATCAACGAACTTTTTTTTTGCAGCTGTTCCTTCACATCATTAAATCTCTACATGTCATTTAATCAGCACATAAGCAATCAAATTGCACTGATCATGTTTATGAAAAAAAAGAACTATAGACGAAATAAAGAAAATTCTTAAAAACTGCAGATTGATTACATTCACATCTGTGGATGAATAGTTACGTATAGCAAGTTTCTTTTGATTTCTTGTTATTCAAATAACTCTTTCTCGAAAGAGAACAACTGCAAAACTATTTTTAGAATTGCATTATTTGTTATATTTTGAAGATTCGTACTAAATAAATATTAATGGATTCATTTCAGTCAATACAATACAAAAAGGAGACAAGTCTCTGTCGTTTGCGTACGCGCGCATCATTTTATTTTACTGTAGAAGCTATTCAAAATTGTACAGCATAATGGTACATGTAAGGAACATACAACATCAAGTTTATGATCGTCAATGAAAAACTAACAATACACTAAGTGATATTTATATTTAAAATTCTATTTAAATCTTCGCTTAGTAGATTCCTTGACAAACATTTTTCGAAACAACATTGTGATTGGTAAACATTGCCTTTCACAAATATGATGCACTTGTTTTATTTCGTTTCTCCAATATAATAAATTGAAAAACTTGATGATCGCCATTATCACGTGTATAAGTTTTATCACATACGAAATTATTGATAGTCGTTAGTCAATATGACTGTCGAAGAGTGTTTTAGTAGAGTATAAATTATGAATCTTGGTTGTCAATCAAAATCGACTAAAATCATATTTTCGGACTTTTTCATCTCGCAATTAATCGAACTAATAAATCACGATAAAATCATTGATTTTCATTGCATGAATAAATTCAGATGATCAATCGCAGGTATAGACATTCATTTGAGCATTAATTGCCTATGTCTAAACCATTCATTTATTCTATAATATTAAAATGACTAATGACACTGATTAAAAAATTAGGGGTACAAAAGTTTCTTATCTGTTTTTCATATGACTAGTTTAAATAGATTTTTATAAAATTTCTCTGTTTTTATTTCGTTGCCAAACTGTATATGTTACTGCTGAAGCCATCGTTACCCAACCAAAATAAGGCACTAAAAGATAAGAAGCCGTTCGATTGATTGGATAAAATGCTCCAATACATAAACCAATATTTGCTAATAGTACAAGCATTTCAGCAAATGCCTAAGACAATCACAAAAAAAAAACGAAAACATTTTTACAATATCTTTTTCAAAAAAAAAAATTTTTTTGACTTACAAGTCCTATTTTATGATAGCCAAAAAAGAGTGGTGTCCAAAGCCAATTCAATACAAGTTGTGAACCATAAAGAGTAAGAGCACGAGTACGACTGTCACCCACACCATCTCGATATATAAGATATGAAGCATAACCCATCATTGTATATAATGCTGTCCAAACAGGTGGAAAAGCCCAATTTGGTGGTCTCCATGCTGGTCGATCAAGACGTTCATACCTAAAAATTAATAAAATCTTTAAATTTTCATTTTATTTATTTTAAATATACCAATCTTTAATATTTTGTCTTGTAATATATCCACCATGAAAACCACCTATATACAATATAATAAATATTTGTAGAAATTCAAAGAAAAGTAGTTTACCCAAATGTGGTAAAAGTGTTAATCCAATAGCAGCTTTAGACAGGCTCATTACTATTACAAAAATCTACAAGCGAGAATAAAAAAATGAGTAAATCTGTTTTAATAAATAAAAGCTAGGTTAAAAAAAGAAGAACAGAACAAAAATTTCATTGCTGATATGAATCTGATACAGGTCGTGGTCGGCGAGGTGGTGGTTGGGCATAAGGTGAATTGAGTTGCCATATTGATATAGTCAATGCCGAAGCTAAAATTCGAATAATTTTTACAAAATAAAAACTAAGACTATTAATGTGACTTTACCAAATCCAACCCAAATAAGATAAGGTACTAAAAGCATTCCAGCATAAGGATTAATTCGCCAAAATTGTAATATACAAATAAAGATGTTTATGAATAAAATAAGTATGATAACAACAGCCTAAAAATATTTTTTTAACTAATCTTTTATTCATTTTGTTTTTTTGAACTTACAGCTCCTAATTGATGAAGAATAAAAAAGACTGGTGACCATGACCAATTAAGAAATAATTGTATGAAATAAAACGTTAATGCAAGTGTTTTAAATGATCCTTGACCATCACGAACAACTAAATAAGAAGCAATGCCCATAAAGAGATAGAGTATTGTCCAAACAGGACCGAATACTGCATTTGGTGGACGCCAAGATGGTTTTAGAAGTTTCTGTTTAAAAAATTTGATAATTATAAAATTGTTTTTTTTTAAAGATAAACCTACTTCGTACCACGTTTTGATTTGTTTTGCTGTTGCAAGTCCACCTAGAATACCACCAACTTGTGGTAATAATATCCAACCGAAAAATGATATCCAACTCATATCCATTAAAAATTAAAGATAATCTAATCATTATGTAAATATTATATTTTTAGTTTAAAATGTATGAAAAAATATTTTGAAATAATTCAACGAGAGAAAAACTTTTTGATTTATATTGTTGTTACTATTTCGTGTTGACTGAATTTTTCTGAACCTTTTTTTATTCAAAGATAATCTTTTATACCTTTTCTTACTGAAATAAATTATTGTAAGAATCAAATTGATAAATCCTATTGTCATTTATTATCTGAAAATTCAAGAAAAAAATAAATAAATAAATAAATAAAGCTTTGTTTGTTTGTCATCATCATCCATGTTCTCCCAATCGCTTGAATATACATAAGAAGAACTCTAACAAAAAATAAATGACAACAAAACACCGAGTAACAGGAGCTGTTATATAATTTTAAATGAAAAAAAAATTGCAACAGTTAAAGTCAAAGACAACATGCATGCACAAGGACGTTGATAACAAATAAAAGTGACAACATTATAAATCGCGCAAAGAAAAAAAGAAAAAGAACAACAAAAAAATAGTAATAAATAACAGTTAGATTATTAAAGTTTAGATGAATGCTTGTTGAATCTTTTTTTTTCACTGTACACAGATATGTAAAGAAGAGAAGAAGAAATATTAGACTTGATTTTATTGTTCTTTTTATTATTTATATTTATATTTTTTTTTTTTTTTTTTTTCTGAGAAATAATCTAATAGAAGAAGCACATACAGAAATTCAAAGAAGAAAGACTTGCAACTACTGAAGATTAATGAGAAAATAGAACAAAAACAAAAAAATGTTAAATTAATCGACACCTTCAAATGCTTCGCTCATTTCCATTGCTTGAGTTAATTTTTGACGTAATTCTTGATAATTTTCATAAGGTGGTAGATCAAGACGATTAAAGCTAAAAAGAATTACAATAATCAATATTATGATAACCAAAAAAATTTTAAACGATCACAAACCATGTATGAGCACGTGGTAATTTTGTTCGATCACCCCATTTTTCAACAGTAAATAATTGTGGACCAGAAGAACCCCATAATTCACGAAAACCATTCATTGGCAATCGAGATGTACCAGTTACAAATTGAAGAAAACGAGTACGTTCTTCGGCATTGAGAGATCCAACAGCCTAGAAAAATATAAATCAATAATAATGAGAATTATGAAAATTTTTCAACAAAATATTCTTAAGATCCTATCACAATCTTTATAGGAAGAAAATGAAATAAGTAAAAACAACAAAATCTTCTTTTATCATGAATGTAAATTGAAAGATGAATGCTGAAAATTTTTCTTTTTAATTTATCTAATGTCGGTGAATAGAACACATTAATATACCTATTTGCAATTTTTGAAAATAAGTTCATTATTACAGATATGTAAATATTTTATTTCAAGGTGTGAAACATTACAAAGAGTTATTTTTTGATTCAGCAAACAGAATTAACCGAAAAACCCATGCGTCACAAGATGTTTTTTTAGTCAATTTTCTCTGCAGAGAATCAGGAAATAACTCCTATAATGTTCTACATAATACCACCGTTTTGTACCATAATACAGCGCAACATACACATGGCCTTATTATTTCGAACTGGGATAAATTAGACAAAGACAAGACTGTGATAAATGAAACATGAAAGCAAGAAAGGTCACTATGTACTGAAAGTGTAATATTCGTTCACGGCGTTGCTAATCCTCATACTCATCCGAATCTTATTAATGTATTAATATAATGTCACAATTTGTACCATGTGATTATATCCAATGGACTCATTGGATAAAAGATCATTAACACAAATGTTTAGAAAAGATGAAATTCTTTATAAATAATTTAATAAAATAAAATTAAAAATATCTTTTGATTTTTCAAAAAAAAAAAAAAGCTTCGTTTACCTTCCAAAACCATTGTATAACTGGATTATCAGGTGTATAACCACCTTTATACATGGTATATGTTCGCCAATCACTGACATTTATTTCTCCAAGACCACTGATTAAAAGCTAGAAGAAAAATATTTATATACACAATAAAAAAAAAAGAAGAAGATTTCTTCTGTTCATTGATTATCTATCATACTTCAACTTCTTTTTCATCAAACATTTTAATACTTTCAAGTGGTAGTACATCTTGAAAACCTTGTTTTATTGCATTCATTTGTGTTGCTATACGTTGTATAAATCGATATTTAATAACCAAACTAATTAAATATAAATGAATTAATTTAGGTTTGTTCTTTTTTTTTTTTATCTTACTCAATATATTCTTGTTTATTTTGTTGAGTTAATTGTATATGTTGACCATCAGGTTTAAGTTCATGTTCACGTAACTATAAAAATCAAAGTAGAGCACAAAAAAGAATATCTATTGAATAACTTACTTCACCAAATACTTCTTCACTAACAACAAAATAAAGATCTAAATCTTCTGGATCATTGTCAAGGATATATTTTAATGATTGATAATATTCACGATCAACAGATTCCATATCAGCAAGTGTAATCGATTTTGAAAGTAACATTTTATAAAATGGACGAATGAAAAATGCTTTTAAAGATAAACAAAAAAAACAAATTTCGATTATAAAAAAATAAAAACACAAACAAACCTTCAAGTAATTTGCCATGATAAATAGCCATTGCAACAACACGTCCAATAAAACGAAAGTATTTTATATGTTCTTCATTGAATAGGCCAGAGAGTGGATTAATTTGAAGAGTATAATTATCTCTAAAATATATAAAACAAAAAAACTAAAGTGATGGCAAAAAGTTTAGAAACAACCATTTTTTTGGTTTTTTTCATAATGTTAAGCACGTGGCTCCAATCCATTTTATAGCAAGATGAACAATGATGGCAAGGCTCCTAGAAAACCGAACACAGTATTTTTCGGGTTCTACAAGACTTTGCCAGATGTATTTTTGAAGGGTGTCATCTTAAAGAGCATAAAATTCTAAGCAAAATGAGGGATCGCCGAGTTTTCTACGACCTTCTCATAAAAAGTTACAGGCATCACAAAAATCATGAAAAAACGAAATTTTCTTAATAGACTAAAAATGCCCTTTTCATGATTTTTGTGATACTTGTAACTTTTGATGAGAAGTTCGTAGAAAACTTGGCGACCCCTTATTTTGCTTAGAATTTTATGCTCTTTAAGATGGCAACCTTCAAAAATATCTCTGGCAAAGTCTTGTAGAACCTGAAAAATACTGTGTTCGGTTTTCTAGGAGCCTTGCTATCATTGTTCATCTGTGGAATCTTCAAATGAAATGTATTGGATAGAAAACTCCATTGGCTATTAAAATCACTATTTGGATTGAAGCTATGTGCTTAACATTATGAAAATCAAAAAAATTGTTGTTTCTAAATTTTTTTCCACCATTTTATTGATATAGTAATTAGAGCCTGTCAGCTTGAAAATTTTCGGAGCAGAGTACAGTTGATTGAAGTTTTTTCACACTCGATCGAACCATACTTTGACATATCTCAATAAAATTTTTTAATCGGAATTGTATATCAACTGGAGCTCTTCAGATATCGCTTCGACGAAGTTCAAGTCCTGGACTTAATCGGAAGGCTCTGACGGTAGAAGCATCAGATTTGCTTATCTTTCTCTTCACAGGTATTCATTAATACACAAAGTTCAAACGATGCGAAAAAGTCTAGTGAGACTTTAATTCGAAACTATTTTTTTCTCTTACTAAATCTTTACAAATATAATATTTGATTAATGTCTGGAAATCAATACGTAAGCTAAAATGACTAAAAATCTTGAAGAGAACAATTCTCAGACAATACTTCTTTGGATATATTATTTTATTGACTTTTGCTAAGATGTTTACTATTCTTTTATCATATTTATTACAAATATTATCAATATCTGTAAGAATAGATTTCTCATTCCGTGAGAATATTATCAAAACAAAAAAAATCCAAGACATTACGCAAAATTCTTTCATTCGAAGATAAATCCTGAATTATTCATTTCAAAGATTTCATGAATATTGAATTATGTTAATAAATTTCAAAATCTTACATAGTGCTGTATTCGAATAGACCATAATATGGATTGAATATTTCACGTGAAAGCATCAAAAACCATTCACGACTTACACCACCATAATCTAAACCACGTTCACCATCAAATACAACCCAAAGTCTTTAATATAAAAATACAAAAAATAAAATAAAATCTTTGTTTAGAAAAAGAAAAAATATATACATACCTAGTTTTTAATGCTTCCGGATCTCTAACACTCATAACAGCTCGAAATGATGATTCCATAATATCTTTTCGATTGACATGTAATTCAAGTTGATTTCCAGCATTTGATCTAGGTCGTGGTAAATTATGACGAAATAAACGATATTTAGCTTCATAATCACGTGAATATGGAACAGCCTAAACACAAAAAAAACAAAATGAATTTTTCAATAAATTCAAAATATCAAAAAACAATGCAACTGTTTTGTTTTTTTTATATTATAAATAACAAAGTCTTATCAATCATTATAAAAATTAAAAAAAAAATATATATATATTCTAACTGTTAAATTTATACCTCTGATATTAAATTTAATTTTTTAGAAGATTTCTTTCTTGGTGTTCTATCAATCATTAATGAATGAACATAAGAATTAATTGTTGCATGGAGCATATTTTTAATATTTTACACGAAAATATTTGTATTTAATTATTTATCGTAATGACGATACAGGTAAATATGTCAAGGACACTAGTTATGATGCACACTCTAAGTGCAGGTGTGATTTATACATCAAAAGGAAAACAAGCATTTTGGCGAGCGAAAATAGAGAACTGGATAAATCTTACTGAGTATTTCATATAGGAAATCGACAACATTTGATCGTAATGATGTTCGTTTATTTTTTTCGTTATGTCAATACTTACCGGTCCTGCTATACGTGGATCAGTCCAAGTTGTTATTTTATTTACTAAAATTAAAACAAAAATAAATAATATAATTAATTTTTAAATC